TATCCACTCCAGCTTGCCCCAAGCGCGATGCGATTCGCTTGGTCATCTTCCAACCAGAACTGAACATCACACTCTTGCCTGCGAGCTCCAGGCCTTCTCGCTTCAGGCTGTGGGCTAGCTTCATCGTCGTCGTGTAGATGGCGTCTTCGACCGCCGCGGGGCTGCCGTAGGCGGAGGTGCTGATGTCGTCGAACCAGGCCCGAGGCATTGGCTTGGGCTGCGCAGCCGCGACGGACTCAAACTCCTTGTACACCACTGCCCACGCCAGGTTGTTGGCGCTGCGCGAGCCCGCCAGGGGGGACAGGTCCGCCTGGCATGGGAGCCCGTAGGCTCCTTGCTGTCTCAAAATGCGTGGTACACAATGAGTCTGCAGCTCGAGCGCCAGGATCCTCTTGGGGAAGTTGATGCCCAGGCACGCTGCATCAACAGACTCAGGTATGAGTGAATCGTAGAATCTGGCTATGTCGGCAAGACTGACTGCCGGCGACATGGCCAAGGCATGCACTGCCCCGTCCCGCAGAGCTCTGGCCAAGGCCTCTCTCAAGCACGAGGACCCTTCAGGGCTGAGCCCCAGTGTCTCGAGGCCGAAGCGACCCATTCCTCCACCTGCGGCCTCGTGAACATCTGCCAGCCGCGAATGAGCCAAGCGATGAGGGCCAGGGCCCTGTCGCCTGACTTCTCTGGCTCGAGCATGATGATGGCCTGGAGCAGTTGGCGCGGCCAGATCTGCAGGGCCTCCGCATAATCGATCAGATCCACGAACGCCTAACGAGCAGGCATTGGCATGCGGCGCACATCGGAGGCCACTAGCCCGTCAACGCCTCGGCCCCTGTCGGGCTGGAGGCGGAGGGCCTGGTCAAAGTGTTGTAAGGTCCAATTGGGGCAGGGCTCCGCCCGCGCCTGGTTTCGAATCCGAGCCAAAACGGCTACGGTGTCAGTTCTGTTAACTGTGTCCGCCGCCCAAACCCCTTCAAACACCTTAGTTCTGGCGCCGTCGATTTCGAGAGGCGACGTGGCCTTACACTCGCCTAGCATAAACTCGTCTTCAAATCGGGGAGGGGGTTTAGTGAGACGGTGTAACTTACCCGCAGGGGCCTTCGCAGGGTCCGAGAGCCAGTCAGCCCATTCACGCAGTTCCTTTTCAAGATCGCGCCTGTGGGCGCGGGAGGACTCGCCAGACGCCTGTAGGGCCATGCCCAAAAGCGTCTGTTGTTCGACGTCGCTGATGTCCGCCAGCCGCTGCTGCCACAAGTTACGCTGGAACAGCGCATTAGCCGACGGCCGAGCACCTGTGAATGGGGCCCCTTCCTGAGACAGACGCCTGGCAATGTTGCAGAGCTCCTGCTGCTGCTGCCCCCCTTTTCTTTGCTCGACGAGCGCGCAATATAGGCTGAGCGCGTTGGCAACCCTGGACCACCAACCCGCCTCAAAACTTTGGCAGCGCGGTCGTCGTAAACCACGCTCCTTCACCACGGAGGTTTTATATTTATAAGTGTAGGCTCTACCAGAATACTGAGCAGCGTCGCTATCAGGGATGCCGTAGGCCTTTATATAGAAAGCTTCCGCGCGCTGCACAAGGGCCCCATACTTCCGGCCGGGTGCCGACGAGCTCTGTGGACAGACGTGAAAAGCGGGGCAAGCGGCAATGTGGTCTGGGACAGGCTCGCTGAGAGGGGAGACTTCGGTGGCGACCTCCAGCCGCAAGTCTTCCTGCGATTCGGTCGGGGGGCCCTCGGAAGCTCTCGGTGAGCGAGCAGCTGCTGTGGCAGGTTGAGACGAAGCAGCCGATCTTCCAAGATCGGCCTGCGAGCTTGACTAGGGTTTGGGGGCTCGTCGGGGCCTTCCAGGCCCTCACAGCCATCCAGGCCGTCGAGCTCCTCGAAAGGGTCCGCCTCTGAGGAGTCCAAGCCAGCGAGACGGGCGCCACCAGAGACTCTCGGCGACGCGCAGCCCGCGGGACCAAGGGACACCCCAACCTCAGAGGCGGACTGCTGGGCCAAATTCTCGATGGCCAGACTCGAGTCAACAGGAAAATGCGACCACCTCCTGGGCCCCAGAGCTTCCCAACGTTGGTTAGCTAAATCCTGATCTTTTGTTCGCGGTCTGCGAGGATCGAGGCGCGAGCGGGGGCAGCAGCAGCGGCGGCTGCAACGGCGGGCGAGGGACCTTCGTCCCTCAGGCGCCTCTGCATCTTGCTGTCGGGGGTCGGCTTAGTCCCCTTGCACGCAGGATGCTGGATCGGAATGGGCATTGCCAGGCTGCGTGTCAGCGCTGGCACTACACTCGCTTTTATGGCTAATACCTGACCAGCGTGGGGCTTCCATGGGACCGAGACTGTTCTGAGATTCTCAAAGTCGGGGATCGCGTCCTGACTCATCAGCACATGATATATGAGCGACGGTTGGGCATCAGCCTTGAAGCATGTGAAACCGTCAGGGATGGTGACAATCTGTGTTCCTAGCTTCTGTGGCCAACCTGACTTCCAAAACTGCTCGGGGGGCGCGTTCATATCTCCAGCAACTATCCAGGGGACCTTGCAAGATCTAAGGAAAGCGCCCATGGACGACAGCGTGGCAGCATTATTACCAGTGAAGCAATTCGTACCTTCTTAATACAAGCTCACTAAGTTGATGCTGACCCCCTTGAGGTGCCAAGTGATGGGCATCCAGTTACTGAAACTAAACGTGCGACAACTATCTACTAAGTGCATCGTCGCCGTGGCATGCGAGGCTGAGCGCGGCAGCGCGAGCTCGCGGTGGCACGACGACTGGTGGCGACTGCGGATCGCTGTGACTACTCCACCCCTCGAGCCCTGCTTCGAGGTCTCGCTGGGTCTGGCGGCAGAGAAGGCAGCTTTGAGACCCCGGCCTCTCATCTCCCTCTCCGCGGCCTCTAAGCCCTCGTAGCGGACGTGCGTTTCCTGCAACAGGTAAGCGTCATATGAGTTTGTAAGCAGCGACTCCTTGATGAACTTGTTAGCAGCTTTCCCCCGGGTGTTGATTTTGCCGATAAAGATCTGTCTGGTCGACCGTGGTGTGGAATCGGCGGTGTCGGCTCGACCAGGCCCCCTGGCCCGTTAGGCAGACGCGCTCCTTGGCGTGGCCGTAGTCTGCCCCGCCTGAGCCCTCGCCTGCTCGAGCACCTTCTCCTTCGCTGCCCTCTGCGCCGCTGCCTGCCGCGCAGCGGCCTCCGCCTTCGCCTTGGCCGCGGCCTCGGCGGCGGCAGCCCCGTCTGACGAGGCTGCGGCGGCGCCGCTGCCCGCGGCAGCGCCGGCTGCGGCGGCGGCGGCAGGCGGGGCCGCGGTTGCGGTCGCAGCCGTCTCGGGCTGCGCCTGCGCGGCCCCGACCTTGGCGCCGCTGTCTGCCTTGCGCTTCTTCCGAGGAGCTGGGGCCCCAGCTCCCCCCCTTGATCATTTTCAGGCCACAGCGCCAAGGTCTGCCAGCCCTCGACCCCAGACGCCATGGGATGGAATTGGAACGACGTCCAGTCCCGCCGCAGCAAGCCGCGCCCATATGCGGTGTGCACGTCCTGCGGCGCCTGGCAGTTCACGTCCAAGGCGAAGAAGAAGGTCTGGTGCAAGTGCGGAGAGCCCTTCCACATCCCTGATGATGGTGGCAAGGGGAGCCAGAGCAGCCAGGAGGTTGATAAGGGCTCGACGCAGGACACGGATATGAAGTCCATTATCACTGCCATCTTGGGGGTTCTCAGCGACGCCCAGAAGCATGAGCTCGGGCCCGCCGCCCAGTCGGCCGCGGCGCTCGCGACGGAGAAGAAGCCCGCCCCTGGGCCCCTACCCTCCCGGCGCACACGCCGCCCCATTGGCCGCGGGCCCCGCGGGTTAGCCGCCGCCCCTGCAGGCACCTTGCGCTGCACCTCGGGGGGCACCGCCGCTGCGGCGCCTGCCCTTTTTGCCTCCCGGCTGGCCTGAAGCCCGCGCCCAGCTTCCGCTTCCGCTGGGCGCCGCGCGGTCCTTAGTTGTGGTGCGCGCGCTGGCCCTGGGCTCGGCCCGCTGCCCCTTTGCCTTCCCCCCGCCGCCCCAGGCCTTTTGCGCGGCCCCCACGTGCCGCAACCGGACGCCCGGCACTCTCCCGCCGCTCGCCTTTGCCTGGCGTTTTCTCCGGCTCTCACCGCCTCGCCCCCCCTTCCCCCCGCGCCGCGGTCGCGTTTCTCCTCCGCCGCGCCGGCGCAGGGCCACGCGCCCAGCCCGCCGCAGCCGACCCGCGCAGCCACCACCAGCCCTCCCCCACCGCTCCCCCTGCCCGCCACCCTGGCGGCCCGCCGCTCCTGCAGCTCCCCACTTGCTGGGCCCCGCCCTGCACTGCGGCCGCCGGCTCGCCCCTTGGGCGCGCCCGCGACGCCGCCCCGCGTTTGCTGCCAGGGGCTGCCACGCGGCCCTGCCGCCCCGCGCGCCACCCCGCGGCCTCGCCGCGTGAGTGCGCTCTCTTTTTTCGCTTTCGGTCTCCGTAGCCGCCTCTCGTCTTCTCCCGTCCTCTCTCATGCGGGACAACTCGCACTGCGCAGCCCGGGTTGCCTGGACTCGCGAGCGGGTTGCCTCTGCCGCGCTGCGGCGTAAAAGTGGCACGTCCTTGGGATAGCCGCCGCCGTCATCACTGCCGCGGTCGTCGCCGCCGGCGTCGTCGTCGCTGCCGTTGTCGTCGCTGCCAGCGTCGCCGCTGTCGCCGTCTCAGCCCGTCGTTGCGGCCAGCGTTCGAGCAAACGCAGACATGCATTAGGGCGCGTGGACTAGCCATGGATCCCGCTTCCATGCGCAAATCAAGGCGCATCCTCGCCAGACCAGGCGACATTGGTCTCGTGGCTCCAGGGGCAGGCGTCGATAGGCGAATCGTCTTGATTACTTCCCCTTCACGCCCGCGTGCGAAGCCCACGGATCTGTGATGTTAGCGTGCGCCTGAGCTCCTCAGAGGAGGGGAGGCCGCCGCCGCCGTCATCGCCGCCGTCGCCGCCGCCGCCACCGCGGCCCCCTTCGGAGCGGTGGGGAGGCGCCGCCGCGGTGTGCTGCGCCGGCGAGGCCGAGGCGTTTGCGCACAAGGACCCCAGCTCAAGCGGCGGGCGTGCCTGGGCCCCATCTCTGGCCGCAAGGGCCGCCTTCAACAGTCGAAACAACGCGCCCCCCGCGGCATTTTTGTCAGAGCGAGGGTGCCGAACGGTCACTCACCGGCCATTGCGCGTGGTTGCGAGGAGGTTTTGTGATGCGGATTGCTGCTGTTGTTGTTATTGTTGCTGTTGCTGTTGCTGTTGTTGTTGTTGTTGTTGTTGTTGCTCTTGCTCTTGCTCTTGCTCTTGCTCTTGCTCTTGCTCTTGCTCTTGTTGTTGGTGCCGTTGCTGTTGCCGTTGTTGTTGCTGTTGTTGTTGCTGTTGGTGGTGTTGTTGGTGGTGTTGTTGTTGGCGTGGCTGTTGGTGTAGAACTTTCACTACTGAAGAATTTGTATGGTTGATCTCCCCTCCGGTTACTTATCTGTTGTTCAATTGAAGTGCCCCTTTCTTGGGCTCGCACCCTGATTTCTTTCAGGGAAAATCTTCCTCCTCAAACTATGCCCGTGGCACCCAGTTTACAACAACAACAGCAACAACAACGGCCCCCGCCCGATATTTCCTTACAATTTACTGGAGAGTAGCGCTCTCGTTAGGGACGCTCTTGCAATTTATCCCAGAATCGTGACTTTCCTGTGACTATCTCGCGACTTTTTCAGGCGCCACGCCCTCGCCATTCAGGAATCGCGCTCTCGCCTGGGATTTCTTTACTTCGGAATCGCGCTCACGCCCGAGACTTGCTGGCGAATTATGCAGGAGCCACGCATTCGCGTGACATACTTGTTTTTTAATTGAAATGCCCCTCCAGGGGTTCGCTGTGTTTTTACCGGGGAAAGTCTCCCTGTCCAAACGGTGCCCATGGCCCCTGGTTTACAACAACAGCAAGAAAATCAGTTCCTCGCAAATTATCAAAGAATCGTGTTCTCGCTTGATATTTCCTCGCTGTTTTTTCAGGCGTCGCGCTTTCTACAATCAGGAATCGCGCTGTCGCTTCTCAGGAATCATGCTCTCGCTGTGGATTTCCTGACGAGATTTATTTTTTGAATCGCGATTTCGCTCAAGGATTCCTCGCGATTCATGCAGGGCGCACGCTTCAGCAATCCGCCTGCTCGACCGGGCCACCTGGGCCCGCCTGTTAGGGTCTACCCGCCCGATCTGCCCGTCTGGTTCTGCCACGTGTTTTGTGCTCCTGGCCCCCGTCCTGCTTCTTTCTCTCGTGCTCCATCCTCCTCTCTCCCCCTTGTGTCCTTTCCTTCCATCCGTCCTCTCTGCCCCTGCCTTAGGTGCTGCACGAAATACACGCTGCAAGTAAGAAAGAATTGCCCCCATGGGGATACGATCGAAGACGATAAGGGTGGGCATCGAAGGTTTCGGATATACGTGTTGAATGGCACGCGAGCAGAAAGAGCGAACAGTCTTGAAGTGTTTGTTGCGCTTGTTGCTGTTGTGCTTATTTACGTTTCTGTTGTTGTTGTCGTTGTAGTTGTTGTTGTTGTTGTTGTTGTTGTTGTTGTTGTTGTTGTTGTTGTTGTTGTTGTTGTTTTTGTTGTTGTTGTTATTGTTGTTGTTGCTGTTGCTGTTGCTGTTGCTGTTGTTGTTGTTGTTGTTGTTGCTGTTGCTGTTGCTGTTGCTGTTGCTGTTGTTGTTGTTGTTGGTGTTGGTGTTGGTGTTGGTGTTGTTGTTGCTGCTGTTGTTGTTGTTGCTGAATACTCACTTCAAAGAATAACTGTGGTCGATCTCCGGAAACTGTTCCGCGCGCTCTCGCCTCGACGCGGGCTACATTTTCTCTGAAAACGAGGTTTCCGTTCGAGCGTTGGCTTAAGTCTGAATGTGGGTTCTTGGAGGCCCACCTACGACGACAACGGCTCCCTCCCGTTCGATACTCCCTCACAATTTACCCCGAGACACCCTGGCCAGAGAGGCCCCCGAACTCAGGAACTGCGATCTCGCTCGAGACGTCTTCGCAATTCAGTCAAGTTGGCGGAGGCCCAACCACGACGACAAGGGTTCCTGCTCGATACTTCCTCACGGTTTACTCCGAGAGCCCCGGGCCAGGAAGGCCCCCGAACTCAGGAACGGCGCTCTCGCTCAAGATTTTCTCGTGATTCGGTCACATTGGTGGAGGCCCAACTACAACGACAAGGGCTCTCGTTCGATGGTTCCTCAAGATGTATTCGCAGAGGCCTTTGCCAGAGAGGCCCTCGAACTCAATCAAGAGTGGCGCTCTCGCTCGAGATTTTCTTGTAATTCAGGCAAGTTGGTGAAAGCCCAGACACGGCGACAAGGGTTCCCGTTCGATGTTTCTCCGTATGTATTCTGAGAATCCTTGGCCTGGCCTGCGAGGCCCCTAAACTCAGGAGCGGTGCTCTCGCTCGAGATTTCTTCGCATTTCAGTCAGTGGCCGACAAGGAAGATATTCCCCCCGAAAGGGGGTGCGATCGAAGACGAAGTGGGCGGGTGTCGAGGGTTGGTATACAGAATGCAAAACACGCGTGCCAGTAAGAGCGAACAGTCTCAACATGAGTATTGTTTTTTGTTGTTGTTGCTGTTGCTGTTGTTGTTGGTTTCGCTTGTGTTCCTCACAAATCATAATCAAACCGCGCTCTCGCGCGGGATTTCCTCACAGCATATGCATGAATCGAGCTCTTGCGTGGGACTTCTTTGCGATTTATTCAGACGCCGCGCCCTCGACACTCAGGAATGACGCTCTCGCTGTGGATCTCCTTGTGATTTATCTGGGAATCGCGTTATCCGTCGAGACTTCGTCGCGATTCATGCAGGACGCGCGCTTCAGCAACCCGCCTGCTCGACCTGGCCGCCTGGGCTCGCCTTCCCAACCCAGCCGGTAGGGTCTACCCGTCCGATCTGCCCGTCTGGTTTTGCCACGTGTTTTCTGCTCCTAGCCCCCCTCCTGCTACTCTCTCTCTCGTGCTCCCTCCTCCTCCCCCCCCTTGCCCCTTCCTCACATCCGCCCTCTCTTCCCCTGCCTTAGGGGTTGCACGACATACATGTTGCAGAAAAGAAAGATGTACCCCCAAGGTGGTACGATCGAAAACGAAGAGGGCGGGTAGTATCGAGGGTTTGGGGTACACGTGTTGATGGCACGCGAGCCGCGAGCAGATAAGAGCGAACAGTCTTAGCATGATTGTTGTTGTTCTTGTTGCTGCTGCTGCTGTTGTTTGTTGTTTGTTGTCGTCGTCCCCCCGCGACCCACCCGCGACACACCCCGCGACCGGCCTGCGACCCACCCGCGACACACCCGCGACCCAGTACCGACCCATTCACGACCCACCCGCGACCCGTCCCGCGACCCACCCGCGACCCACCCGCGACCCGTCCCGCGACCCACCCGCGACCCGCCCGCGACCCATTCGCGACCCATTCGCGACCCGCCCGCGACCCACCCGCGACCCACCCCGCGACCCACCCACATTGCTTTCACGAAATCACCGGCGCTGGCGGCGAGCTCGTTGTGGAATTTTACAACTTCGCCGCCTGCTGCGTGCTTCTCCAGAGTCTCGCAGACTGCCGCCGCCCCCTCACGCTGGTCCGCAACTGCGGGGGCGACGATGTGATTTCTGGGCCTCCTGCAGCCACCGCTGGATCTTGCTCGAGGCTCGCACCGGGAAGGACCCGGGAGGCGCCCAGAGCCATTCTCAGACATCCCCCAGACCGAGGACCGAGGTACACACACACACACACACACACACACACCTCCGACGATGCTTTTGTTTCCGTCTCGCCGCTTTCCGATCGTCCTCGCTGCGACGGCTGGAGCGTGCTCGCGAATCGCATCGGGAGGGGCCCCGGGAGGGAGTCCGGAGCGCTCGTGAGCGGACCCCTCCCCCAGGCCGAGGATCGGGGCACCCACGTTTCCGACGGCGTGGTTTAGTCAGTCCCGCCGACTTCCCTCGGTCTCGGCCTCCGGGGCCCGTGGGGGCCCCAGGCCATCAACAGTTCGCTCGGGACGAAGAGCTGCGCCGATCAGACATCATCAGGACAGCCATGATCTCCGTGGGTTCCAGGTGGCGCCGAAGAGGATCAAGAATCTGGGCTGGACCCTGGGGCGTTCTCTTGGAGTCCTCGTTCCTGTTGTGGCAGGTTCGTAGATCTGGACCTGGGCTGCTGTCTGAGAAAGCGCGTGGCGAGAAGTCCACGCTCTCTGCCTACGACTTCCTGAACTGAGCAGGGGCGCGCCCCTCGGGAAGGGGCCGGGGCTGGACTCGTGCGCTTTCGGGGTCTGTTTGGGAGCCCTCCTCCGCGGCGGCCTCTCGGAGGCCTCCGCGGTGCCCTCGGAGGCCTCCGTGGGGGCTCAGGCCTCCGAGGCGGCTCGCACAGCACCTCGCGCCGGCGGCTGCTGCTCGTCGGCACCCTCTCGGGAGGAAGGCAGGCCACAGCAGCGCGGACTTCTGGCCCGTTCGGGGCCACCAAATTCCTCCTCCTCCTCCTCCTCCTCCTCCTCCTCCTCCTCCTCCTCCTCCTCCTCCTCCTCCTCCTCCTCCTCCTCCTCCTCCTCCTCCTCCTCCTCCTCCTGGGGGTTGGGGTCGCCATATCCCCCCCGCTGCATCGGTGGCGTCAGCGTGTGTGACTCCTTTGCTCGTGCCCGAGCGTGTGAGGCTTCTCATAAGCATCACGCTAGTAATTAGTGTCCCCACGGCGGCGTGTCGTTGACACTGTTGCTGCTCCCCCAACCCTCGTCGTCCAGGTGGGGGGGGGCTTGACGAGGGATTGTTGCCCGAGTTGACGCGGCCCCGACCGGCGCCAAGCCGTATGCTCAAGCTGGTCGTTTTTCGGCGATGTCGCTTCGCCTCGCGATCGGCCCTCTCCCGTCCTGTCCCGTCTGTCTGCCAAACTTGCAACAGGGGGCAGGGGGGCCTTCTTGGAGTGCTGCCACCCCTTGACTGCTGCCCCCTTGGCTTGCCGCTTTCTCGAGGTCAAGGGGAACCTGAGATCCACGGCATCCGCAGTAGCTTGACACCGTGCCAGCACCTAGGAGCACCCTGCATACACGGCCGCGCACTTACACGATTGGTTGCTCGGATTTCCACCACGCTTCACACAGCAACATCAGCCCTCGCAGCCGTGCGTCTCCGTCGTTGCCCTTCGGCTCCCCTCGCGCCCACGCGCCCGCCATGGCCTCCCCCCTGCTACCGCTGCGCCTGGCAGCCGCCAACACCACATTCTACCTCTGCGACCAACAGACGCGGTTCCGACCGCTGATTCGCGGCGCGGAGCGCACAATCGCGTGTGGGAAAGCGCTGCTGCGAGCGGCGCGCGAGCTGGAGATCCCGGTCCTGGTGACCGAGCAGTACCCCGAAAAGCTCGGCAACACCGTGCCGGAGCTGGCCGCCGAGCTCGACCCCGCTCGCTCGCGCACCGTGGCCAAGTCCACCTTCGGGATGGGCGTGCAGCCCGAGGAGGGGCGCGACTCGGTCGTGCTTTGGGGCTGGGAGGCCCACGTCTGCGTGCAGCAGACCGTGCTGGAGCTCGTCGAGGCTGGCCGGTGCGTGTGGGTGCCGCTGGACGCGATCGGCAGCCAGCGCGCGCTGGATCTCCGCGGTGCGGTGGAGCAGTTCCGGGGGCTGGGAGTGCGGCTGAGCAGCACGGAGGCGATCATCTTCGAGCTGCTGCGGTCCAAGGAGCACGCCAGCTTCCGGGCGCTGTCTGGCGTGGCGAAGGACCTGGCGGGCGAGCTGCGCGTGCTGCCCGAGGAGGAGGCCGCGGCGAGCCTGTGAATCAGCTGCGTGCCCGTCGCCCTGCGCCGCGCGGGCCGGGGTGCTCAGCTCTGGGCCTCCCAAACGGGGTCCGAGTAGATGGGGTCGGATGATCGCGCGGAGTCGCCGATGCATCGGCGGCGTTGCGGCTCGATGCGAAGCCCGATTTTCGCCACGCCGACGGCGCCGATGCGGCGCGTTCCTCCGACCCCGTGTGCTCGGACTCCATTGGGGTAGGCCTCTAGCAGTTCGAGGCTGGCGGACAAGAGAGCGCACGGCATGCGCACCAAATGATAAGGGGGTGGATTGCTTCTATAGCGAATCATGGGAGCTCTGTGTACCCTTGTAATTCCGTCTTTCGAGTGCGTCAGCGTCCATGATCGTCGGTTATCGTCGATGTTGCGTCGATTAGCGTCGACTTGCAAGATGATGGTGTGGGAGGCTCCCATGAGTTGCCGCAGAATAATATGAGGCTAGATTGCCAGCAGGTGCCCCACGGAAGTGTATCCCCTGGGACCCTGGCGAGGCAATCCCTGCACACCGGGGGGGGGTCGCCAAGATTCGGGCCCCAGGGCCTTCGGACATCGATCATGGTCTCGAGAAGTCCCGCACATCGATAGGGTCTTGGGGTCTGGGGCCTAAGGCGCCGGTCGTGATCTGCAACGCTGATGGTGTGATCTGTCACGAGGATGTATTGTTCTCGGAATTCAGGGTTGTCAGTCGCTGTGATGTCGCGCCTGCGGCCCGGCACCGGCCCTCCAGTGGCCAAAGCCTGTCAAGCAGTATCACCATGTTCGGGGGGATTTGCCGAGGTGTACGCATCGACTCCCTATTGCCCGCTGATCGCCGATGGGGGCCTGATAGCCCACCGCGCCCAGCACTGTGCGGATTCGCGATCGGGGCCCCATCGCCGATCGATCGGCCGTGTGTCGTCGGTTCAAGGTCGATGCTTACCTGCCTGAGCCCGTCCTCCCCTGCCGTTGACCCTCGAGCGCCGGGTTCCCCTCCCCCTCGCCCGCCGCCGGAAGACGCCGTTCCTCCTCCTCCTCCTCCTCCTCCTCCTCCTCCTCCTCCTCCTCCTCCTCCTCCTCCTCCTCCTCCCCCTCCTCGCCCTCTCCCTCGGGCGGGTGGCCTGCATCCTCCTCGCCCTGGCTGGCAGGAACTAGGGCAGCCTCTGTGGAAGCCTCCTCCTCGTGCCTCGTCGGCGTCTCGGCGGCTGCAGCCGTGCCAGCGCTCGGGCGCATCCTCGGGCCTGCCTGGGATCCTGGAGCCCAGGACCCTCCTTCCTCCCCTCCCTCCCTCACCTTTCTCCCTCCTCCCTCCCTCCTCGCCTTTCCTCCCTCGTCCCCCCCTCCCTCCCCACCTCTCGCCGCCGCCCCCCGCGCCCGCGCCCGCGCCGCCGCGGGGCCGTCGCGGGAAGGACCGAGGGTTTTTCTGGCGGCCTTCGGCACCGTCCGTCCGTGGCCGGTGCCGTCTGCTTCCTTCGAGGCCGTTTCCCGCCCTCGCCTCCCGCCGCGTCCCCCCCCCCCCCCCTTCGCCGCGAGGAGGTGCTGCCGGCGGCCGCGGAGGTCGGGGCGGCAGGGGGTGCCCGGAGAGGCCGCGCCCGAGGAGGCGCGCGGTGGCTCGGGCAGGAGGCACGCCAGGTGCGCGAGCGGGCCCTGCTCGGCGGCGAGCCGGGGGGGGGAAAGCGAGGACGTCGGAGGTGACGACGGGGGCGAGCAGCCCGTGGGGAGGGCGATGGCTCGGCCTCGGGGAGGCGGGTCCCGCGGGAAGCGGGTCGTGAGCTGAGGCTTCTCGTCGTTTGTGGGGCTTCCTCGGGCCCTCCGTGGGCCCCGTGACTGTCAGAGAACATCTCAGGATAAAGATCTCGTCAGGAGGGGAAAACACACACAGACACAATGAATCGTCGATTCCCCAGAAAATATAGGAAAATATGGGAAGTGGGGGGGAAAACAAAAACGCAGAAAATATGGGAAAATATGGGGAATCTATTTGTGTGTATTTATTTGTATGTCCTGGGGCCCCTTCAAATATATGTACCCAGAGCCTCCCATCGCCCATGTCTTCGACGAGGCTCCTGGGCGAATGCGTGCAAAGCCCGTCCGTGGTCAATCGGCGCCGCCCCTGGCGCGCTCCGCGTGCCAGGGAGGGGGGGGGGCAGCGCCGATCCAAGAAATCCGAGCGGAGCTCCGACAGTTTATGTTCATATTGTTTGCTTGCTCTAGAGAAGGGGCGGGCCTTCCCAGAAGGCTCGGAAGGCCTCGGGCCTTCTGAGAAGTGTTCGAAGCCTTCCCCGAAGGCACAGGAAACTTCTCAGAAGGCCGGGGGGCTTCTGAGAAGCCCCGCTGGTTTCTGAGAGGGCCTTCTCCCTCTCATTCCTCCCCGGCGCGCCGCCGACCAGTGGGCGGCGCACGCGAGGCCTTGTCCGGCTGCGCGTCGCGGGAAAAGTCGCGGCGGAAGGCTTCCCAGACGTGCCCGCGTCGTGAAAGAGCGGCGGCGGGAGGTAGTTTTTAGCCGTCTTCGGCGTTTGGTGGGCCCTCGCCGAGCTCTGCGACCGTGAAAAATCGCTCGAGATACATACAGAAACGAGCCCCGCCAGGAAGGCCCCTGCCTTCTCTTGGCCGGGCCCAGACATACTTGTATTATGTGCGCGCTGCTTCCACAGGGTCGACGCGCACGCTGAAACACCTTGTGGCACAAGCACCGTGCTGGACGAAACAGCATGTTCGTCCTACATGTTCGGATCGGACGTGCGCCTCTCGAGCATAAGTACTCTCCCGGCGACACGAGATGACCAATCTCCCATTTGTTCTGTTCGACTTGTTTTTCGTTTTTGTTATGTTAATTGTTATCTTCCCACCGCGCTGATCCGTGTTTCGTCGGCTTCTTCTTGCGAACTAATTTCCCGTCAGAGACCTTCGTTCTTCGTTTTCTAACTAACATGTATGTTTGCGTTTCGTGTATGCTTCCTCGTTAAAGTCGCACGTGCAAGGGCCTGCGGTGGTTTCGAACGATTCGAAAACATATGGTGCCACGTTTGGACATGCTCGAAATGGGGGCCCGCTCGCATTGTAGACACTGTTAAAGTACACGTTTGTACGAATGTTTCCTACGCGCACGAGGGTCATTTTACGTGCGCCATGTGCGCGAGGTCGTTTCGCCTATGAGGCGAACGACGCGTTACAGCGTTGACCGCTGTTCTTCGGGCGTGATTTTTCTCGCAGGCACTCGTTTGCAATTGTGAGGAGCGGGGGGGGGGGAATACCATTGCCGCGCAGGTTCAGCCACGGGTGCCAAGAATCGGGCTCATCATTTCCCCACTAAGGCCTCATCATTTCCCCACCAAGGCCGAACCCTTTTCCGCAGCCAGTTCCTCGCGTTGCTCACGATGTCGACAAACACTGAAAGTCAACTCTTGGAGCTTGTTGGCGAATCTGCACCACAAGAGTCGCCTGCAAAGAAGCAAAACCAACTTGAGTTCAAACCACTCTCGCCCGAGGGCGCATTCAAGGAGATCGCGGCCGAGGCCGAGGAGTACAAGTTTAGCAGAGCCGACGCAGAGTTGGCCAAGAAAGACCAGGCGGACGCCCGCAAAGACTTGGCAGAGTCTTGGGGGCTCTCTTATCCACTGCCTCTCTTCGGCTGGCATTGCCACGCGGGGCAAACCTCATGGTCCCAATCAGCAGGCCAATCCAAAGGCGGCGCCTGCGCTGGCGCTGGGAGTTCCCCAGCCGCCACTCTGCCGAGGTATTGGTGCACGCCTTGCTGCCACTACTGCGCCTTCGGAAGGGGGCCGCCTTTACGCGGAGGTCCAAACATAGGAGGCGGTGGCCAGGAGAGCCCCACATATTCTGCCAAGTCTGTACGGGCGTCTGCCTGGTCTTTCTTGGCCAGCTCTGCATCGACTCTGCTGGCCGTGTATTCCTTGGCCTCGGCCGCGACTTTCTTGAAGGCGTCCTCGGGGAAAAGCGGTTTGAACTCGAGTTGCTTCCGCCCCTGTGTAGGCGACTCTTGCAGTGCAGACTCGTCGGGAAGCCCCAGGAGCTGGCCCTCTGTGTTCTTCGCCATAGCTACGTAAAGGATATCTACGCGGAGGGCGCGGACGTTTGGCCACAATGTCTTGGGCCCACGCGTGTCCAGGACACGGTGGGGACGCCAACCCTTCGTTTTTGTAATTAGCTTGTTTATCACGGGCTCGGTTCGTTTTCGCTTTCGATTTCTCAACTAACTAATTCTCGGGTCGCCGCGGTCGTCGTTGGCTGTGTTAACTAACTTGCTGGGGGGAGGGCTCTGCGTTTTCAGTTTCGTGTTCTCGTGTCGCCGGGAGAGTACATGGCCCTCGTCATGGCCTCGTCCTCCTCATCCACCTCCTTTTCCTTCTCATCGTCGTCGTCCTCCTCCTCCTCCTCCTCCTCCTCCTCCTCCTGCGCCCCGTTCTCCACTTCCAGCCCCTGGGCCCTCCTCGGGCAGTACCACGGGCGGTCACCAATATGGATAGAGGTGTCACCACCGCCGCGCCCCCCCGAGATCGAGGATCGAGGAGGAGGGGGGATCGAGGACCGAGGATGTTTTTGGCGTCGCTGGTCCTCCTGTAGGTGTCTGGGAGGGCCCAGGGGAATCCGTCTCCTGGATGAGTTGGCGAGCTCTGTAGTGGTGATCCCCCTTGGCACTGCCTGGCCTTCCAAGAAGGCTCCCGCCTTCCCAGAACCCAGATCTCCGACGGTACATTCTTTGTTGAATCCTGGCGTTTCTCCCCGATTTCGGCCCCCCTTGGGCCCTTATCGGGGCCATCAAAAAAGGACGCATGGAGAATTACCTTGGCGACGTACCGAACTCATGCGCAATGCGGGGCATAAGTACTTCAGGATTGCGACAACGGGGGCGATGACGTAACATGGATGCATGTGATTTTGCGAGCAGCAATCGGAAGGTTCGCAGGCCCCCGATCAAGATATAAGGGCTACGTAATAACAAATCACCCCCGTTGGCTGTGCCATGCGACCGTTGCACCCAACGTATCCCACATCAGCGTTTGAGATCCCCCGCGGGATACGTGCAGGCGCAACGTTATGACCATCGCCCGGCAGATGGACTGTTTCACAAATCACCCCCATTGGTTGTGCCATGCGTACATTGCACCCAACGTATCCCGCAACAGCTCTCCAGAGCCCCCCTGGGACGGCGAGGTCTCGCTCAGGTCCCCGCGGTGCCTCATTCCGCTGGACCCACCGGCAGCCCTTGAAAGTGGCGACAGTGTCGCAGATCGCAGCCCCCGGAGGGACGGCGAGGTCTCGCTCAGGTCCCCGCGGTGCCTCAGTCCGCTGGACCCAGCAGCGGCCCCCGAAAGTGGCGACACTGTCGCAGATCGCAGCCCCCCCCAGGGACGGCGAGGTCTCGCTCAGGTCCCCGCGGTGCCTCAGTCCGCTGGACCCAGCAGCAGCCTTCGAAAGTGGCGACAGTGTCGCAGATCGCAGCCCCCCCCCCTCCAGGGACGGCGAGGTCTTGCTCAGGTCCCCGCGGTGCCTCACTCCGCTGGACCCAACCGCAGCCTTTGAAAGTGGCGACAGTGTCGCAGATCGAACCCCCCCAAGGAACGACGAGGTCTCGCTCAGGTCCCCGCGGTGCCTCACTCCGCTGGACCCAACAGCAGCCCTCGAAAGTGGCGACAGTGTCGCAGATCGAACCCCCCCAGGGACGGCGAGGTCTCGCTCAGGTCCCCGCGGTGCCTCATTCCGCTGGACCCACCGGCAGCCCTTGAAAGTGGCGACTTTGTCGCAGATCGCAGCCCCCCAGGGACGGCGAGGTCTCGCTCAGGTCCCCGCGGTGCTCAGTCCGCTGGACCCAGCAGCAGCCCCCGAAAGTGGCGACACTGTCGCAGGTCGCAGCCCCCGGAGGGACGGCGAGGTCTCGCTCAGGTCCCTGCGGCGCCTCACCCCGCTGGACCCATCGGCAGCCCTCGAAAGTGGCGACACTGTCGCAGATCGCAGCCCCCCCCAAGGGACGGCGAGGTCTTGCTCAGGTTCCCGCGGTGCCTCACTCCGCTGGACCCAACAGCAGCCCTCAAAACTGGCGACAGTGTCGCAGATCGAACCCCCCCAGGGACGGCGAGGTCTTGCTCAGGTTCCCGCGGTGCCTCACTCTGGTGGATCCACCAGCAGCCTTTGCAAGTGGCGACGGGTCGCAGATCGCAGCCCCCTCCCTCAGGGGACGGCGAGGTCTCGCTCAGGTCCCCGCGCTGCCTCATTCCGCTGGACCCACCAGCAGCCTTCGAAAGTGGCGACAGTGTCGCAGATCGCAGCCCCCCAGGGACGGCGAGGTCTCGCTCAGGTCCCCGCAGTGCTTCACTCCGCTGGACCCACCAGCAGCCCTCGAAAGTGGCGACAGTGTCGCAGATCAGGGACGGCGAGGTCTCGCTCAGGTCCCCGCGGTGCCTCACTCCGCTGGACCCAGCAGCAGCCCCCGAAAGTGGCGACAGTGTTGCAGATCGCAGCCCCTTGGCAAGATGCACACACAAGAGGTACCCCAGCCAGGATGCACACACACACACACACACTCGAGGTACGCACAAGACAAGAGGAGACAGGAGGAATGCGAGAGGCGAGAGGCGGGAGGACTGGAGACCGCAGCGCTTTATTCAAAGCGAACGCCCAACCAAGGAGAGTCGGGAAAAACAGTACCTCCAGGGGAAGCAGTCCGTACCTCAGAGGGCCGCGCGCTGTCAGAAGCCAGGTCGCAGGATGTCGGGGCGGGCCGCCGGCCCGCTGGCGGTGGCGCCCATGGGAGCGTGCGGCGCCGCCATCGCGGGCCTGCGGCCACGAGCGTTCGCTCGGCGCGTCGGGCTGCCAGTCCTGGGCCAGCACGCTCCGGCGCGACGCGCCCACTCGGGGGGCATCGATAGGGGGGGGGAGAGGCATACACCTTAGGCGATGCTTAAGAAAACTTAAGTTTTCGGCCAGAGTCTCGATTACTCTTAACGTTTCAATGTAAATCCTAAGTTTTTCATAGAAATGTTGGGTTTTTATTCAAGATCTGAGACTCTGAGTTTCTTAACCCATGATTTCTTAAGCATTTCGCAGGGTGTAGGGGGGGATGCATCGACGCCCCATCGCCCAGTGATCGCCGACAGGGGCCCGATAGCCCCAACCTGCCCGGGAAGGTGCGGATTCCCTGTCGGCTATCGGAGGCATCTCGCCGATCTATCGGCGATGTATCGCCGATTCCAAGTCGCCACCCTGTCGCCAAGGTGCGCCTGGCGGCCGAGCTCTTCCTGGGCGCCGTCGTCGTCGTCGTCGTCCGTCGTCCGTCGCCGTCGCCGGCGCCGTCGCCGTCGTCGGCGTCGTCGTCCGGCGTCGTCGTCGCTTCCTTCCCGACTCCCTGTCCCTATCCCCCCCTGTCGCCACCCCTCACCAACCCCGTCCGACTCGCGCTGGGACAGAACACGGCGGGGGGCCGTCTGGCCGCGTTCGGCCTCCGGGGTCTCGTGCCG